CCATGTAAAAGTTATACTATGTTTGACGTCACCACTTTGAAATGAAAAAAAGTAAAGACCGCAGGCCGGAGGGCAACTTACAAAACAAGCTGAATATTCCAAATTTGGAAATCAATATCAATGCTTACAATTTATTTAAAAAAAAAAAAAAATACCGTGTTGAATATCCTAATGAACAGTTTATCATGATCGGTGTCAGTAGAAGTGTATCATTGTTATAAACTCATAATAACGACTTTGAAATAATGTATATTCGTGTTAACGATTTTAAACTCGTTTTCAAGTTTAAAGGGGCACCTTCCAGTTAAGCTTAATTTCACAACAAATTTACTTTCTGGATTAAAATAACAATGGATAACAAAAGATAGATTAACATTGTAAACAACATAAACAATAGTGTCCCATGATTCTTTGGTGCAATCCATGGGATTGAGCGGTTCCCCTTTAAGTAGTTTAAAAGACATTCTTCAAAATATTTCAAAGTTTGGGGTATCATTTTAATTTATTAAGGCAATATTAAGCCACCGTACTATGTAGGATTTTTTTTGTCTTTTTCTGCCTGTAATTCTTGCCGTTATTATTTTCTCCAAAATCCACCATTTCTACCCTGAGTTTAAAATGGTCAATCCTTTAGAAATAGATGTACTAAATAGCCATGTGATAACATGACTTTATTGATAGAAAAGCGAATTACCACATCCTTTATGAAAAGAAGAAAGAACCTCCAACCCCACACTATGATTTCAAATAGTCCCTATACACAACGCAACATTGCGTGATCATTCACACAAATGTAGACACTCTAGTGCAGATCTAGATATTTAAAATTATTCTAGAAATATAATAAAAATTACAGATGTGCAAATCAAATATCAAGAATTGTGTTAATTTAATATCTGCTGATAACATTTATGCTGGGTTCAGTAAAAATTGAAGAAGAACAGCGACGGATACGAGGAAAAAAGGTGAGTTACATTAGAATCAGAAACTAGTTTGTTTGTTAGCCTAAAGAGTGGCCCTCATTGAATAATAATATAGTTATCCCAAGGATGGCAAACATTATTTGGGTTTGCCGATACCATTGCTGTACTGCCTTAATGAACATTTTGGTATTCTTATGATAATATCAAAAATAAATTCTCACCTGATAAAAAACTCGCAATTCTAAAAAAATAAAAACGTTTAAATGAGCTTATATAATGTGGCTCGTCTTATCTGAGAAAAAATGTGATAAAATAACGAAATTACATAGATCTCCAAGAAATAAAAATTTGCGCCAGGAAGTGTATGATGAACACGTAAACTAAATATTGTCAATACAAAAATCATCATAACGTCAGCGAATGTTTTTTCACACGAACTGAAACTTGGACTTTAGAGTTAGTGACCTTGAAAAGTGTGAGCATAGGTGAAAAATATTACCTAGTTAAAAAGCTCGCTCAATAAATGCCGTCTCGATGTAGCGCTGAATACGAAAAAAACGATCAGCCTCTTTCCCCAGAATGCCGTAGTGTGTGTCATGTGACAATGGGTCACCGTCCGATTGTTGGGGTCAGGGAGTGTACGTGTTGTAAAGATGTCTGGTAAACGTGTAGCAATTATTGGTGCTGGAGTAGCTGGTTTGGTATCAATAAAAAGCTGCCTCGAAGAAGGTCTGCAACCGGTTTGTTTCGAGAGACACGATGACATAGGCGAGTATGGGACAGAGCAACGATCCCTCCAATGTGCATGCACGGGTCTTGTATTTTTGAAATATTGTCTAACGTCACTCGACATATAGTGATATGTACAAGCCTAGGAAATATGTGTCAAACTAGTTTTAGTCACTGGAATACATTAATTTGAAAACGGGTGTTTATAACTACAGTTAGTTTGTCTGACCATATGAAAACGGTCACGTCCAGGCACAGGGAGCCCAGAAACTATAATCAACTGTACGCACTCCATATGAGTGGGGGGGGGGGGTATCGGCTGGTATCGAGTGGAAGAAATAGACAAGGGATGAAGGCTCCAGCCAGCTCACATTTTTTAAACTCGAAAAAACAGACAAAAAGAATGAAAAATAAAATCTAAAAAAAATACCAGGTTGAAGAATATTAGTTGCTCCTTCGAATTTCGCCAAAGCCTTACCTACATTTTACCGATATCTGCAGAATAAATCAAGAAAACTACACAAATTGTCTCCATTTAGGAATTCTAACTTGCCCGAACGCACGGCACAGTTGGAGGCGTGGCCTGTTCAGCATTTTGTCAACAACCAAGCACAATACTGGTCGCGAACCACATTGAGGTCACGACTCGGTTGGCCTTGCTCATTGGTTGATTAGTGGCATGAGACCTACACATAGAATCACAGTCAGCTGGCGCACACGTGTCTCTTATTTAGTTTTATGCGTCATTCAAGAAGGCGGCCCCCATATGGTAAATATCGTATTTATTTTATTATCACGTGTGCGCCAGCTGACTGTGCGTAAAATGGTCACTATATTTAACACAAACTCGAGTACTATCTAGTTATCGGGGAACCAGAATTGTAATTGCATATTAAAGAGTTTGGCATGGTAGGAGTGTGTACAACATCCATCTAGTAGCGTCGCTTATGTGCGGGCTACAAACACAAAGTTTAGCACCATCAATGAGGTTTGCTTTAACGAGGTTATTTAAAAGTGAAATTATTAATAGAAAGCATTTATTATGAGACGCCGGAATCACGTATATTCGGTCTTCACCCACACTCTGTCCATTGTGGTAATTTGAAGACTGTACGACGCTCTCTATCCTATTAAACTGGTCACCAAATTTAACTGTTTCTGGACTTTACATTCAAGTCTGAATGAGCGGAGGCAAGTCTCAATAGATTTCGATTGTATACAGCACTACCAGTGACTGTTCCCGGCTCTATGCGTCTAGGGGTGATTTTATGTTTGATACTATTTTTTTACTTCGCCAGTATGTCTATAGTTCAAATCAGCAGGTCGTATCCACAGATGCCTGCCCAAGCTTCCGAATGAGTCAATA